GATGTTCACAACAAACACTACCACTCAATACATCATGGAAACAGGCCACATAGAACCAGGGAGATGCTGTCATGCCACTCAAAGAATAAGCCATGATGCTTAGGCAACAATCATTAGGAAGTTACCAAGTTTAACAGCCTCCAATGAACCTATCTGCATTTTCATCGGGTAGGCCGTAAGCCCCCAGTGCTTGGCTGGTTCCCTTGATATTTAAGAAATGAGTCTTCCTCTATTCTAGAGTTCTTTGAGTAGTACACTCTTCTGAATGTCACTGAAAACACAGTTAATTGCAGGCTTAACTAGCTCATGCTATTACGTTTTTAGACTACCTTGGGTAGTACTGCACCATCTCATAAACACTATAAATAAAATTCCTTAATTGATTCATTTAGCAGTGTTAAACTGCACCCAAGTCACCTTCAGTCCTATGCTACATACTTAAAAAGACAATAGGAATTCAATGGAGGGCATTAAAAAAACAAAGGTTTTTTTTTAGAAGCTTACCTGACCCGGGGTATACAAGCTGCTAGCAAGATTAGACATATGTGAAAACTGCCATGTCAATTATTTGCCAAATTATTTGGCATCATTTTTAGCAGTACATTCCTGAATGGGCAGGCCAAGACTTCAATATCCATTTCGGAGATCAGCCAAAATATTATATCATGAATGCTTGTCTATGAGGAAAAACCATCCTGCATTAAGATTCAATGACAAAACTGACAGGCAACTGGCCCTCCCTCCTCCAATCGACTGATTTACCAACCACTTCGTTTCACAGCAATAACAGTTCTCAAGATGAGAAAAACGTCTCACTCCACATAGAGTAAAACCATCTTTAGGAAGCAAGTCACAAAAGACTACATATATTTTATAAATCCATAGGCAAATCTATAGGGACAAACGGTAGACTAGAGGTTGCCTCAGGCTGCAGGGGTGGTGCTGGGAAAGAGGGCTTAACTGGTCATGGGAACGAGGTGATGAAATATTCTAAAACTGATTGTGGTTGCACAACAGTAAATATATTAAATATTAAAAATCACTGAATTGTACACTTTAAACGTGTGAAGTGTAAACTATGTGGATTATATCTCAATAAAGTTACAAAAAAAAACATATTAGGAAAGGAAAACAGCCCCAAAAGAGAAGAAAACAAGAGGCTTTTCCAAATCAAGTCACACTTGAAGAACGGTAGACAAGCCTGACTTATGGAGCTCGTCTCTGACATATTATTTTAACTTCAAAATCATTTTAACCCTGATTTCACATTTTAATTCATTTCTAAATTATTTTCAGGTATTAGATTGCTAACTTTGCTCTCATTAGAGAGCAGAGTCAGTATTCCACAGACAGATTGAGTTGGCAAAACAACAACAAAAACAACCTATGCCAAAACAGTCTCATGCTTTGGGTTGTGCGTTACCAGGCAAAATGCAAGAGCTGAGGTTTCTTTTCAACAGAAAAAAATTGCACCAAGTATAAAGGCATCATATGACGCTTGTCTAAAGCACATTTCCTTTTCAAACCTGCTTCTAGTTACTCCCTTTACACCTGTACAATTCAGCCAAAGTAATCCGTTCTACAAAGAAATGTTGCGCTTTCAGAAGATCAAAGTGCTAGCCAAGTTTTCCCTAAAAGTACAATTACTAAACATTTCAATAATAATAAAACTCAACTCTGTATCTTCATCCTCACCTTCAGCAATGTACAGTGAAGATGGAAAACGCACAGCCTGCTCTAACTCAAAAGCTATACAACTTCTAAAATGACCTTAATTTTGTAAAATTACAGATATTAGTTCCAAATATTTAGAACTTATTTGGCCCAATTCCTTTGAAGTCTGACTTCATATTAGTGAGAAGTGTTCTTTAGTTTCCAAATTCACTAGTTTAGTATGCAATAAACTAACAGAGGTTTTAAATAACTTAAACTGGCTCATGACATGTAATCGGTTTACCTAACAGATTACTACTCTTCTACAAAAGCAATACAATTAAATCATGAATAGGCTTTTTGGTCTACCTTCAACTGTTCTTAAACTACACAAGCAACGAGGACAAATTCTACAGATAAACAAAGGGAACGCAACTCGCTCACAGCAAGTTGAGTTTGTTAAATGTTTTTGTTACAACAAAGAATTTCTGACATAAAAACTGCTCATTTTCATACATAGACTCTCAAAGAAGTGATGAAACAAGACCGCTGATGTTCAGCGATATACAGGAGTGGGGTGAGAAGTTATGGGCAAATTAAAAACTAGCAAGGACCTGCTGAAGAAGAGCTGCTTTTTAGGGGGCTTAAGGAAACATGATAAATCACCATGTTGGTCTCCTTAGTAAAGTCTATCTGTTGTTGGGAATTGAAGACCATTTTCCTATAAATCATATTGCCAAATGCAGTTGTCACATAGTATTTCCAAAAGGATCCCAAAAACTGTAGTGCAAAAGAAAAGAAATCTAAGAAAATAAATAGCTATAAAACTCATCAACATTTTCCAAAGAAACATGTTCAAAACAGTGACTTCTACAAAAAGATGTGAATTTGTTTTAAATGAAACCAAAAAATCCCTCTATGAAAAAAGTCAGACTTGTTTCACAGATAACTTATATTGCATTAATGACTTAACAGTGTACAAACAGGGGCCATAGATTCTGTTTTTATTAAGTCTGAAATACCAATATAAATACTGATGGGGGGTGTTTTATACCCCAAATTCCAATATTTCAACTCTGTGTCCTGTCCTATTACTATAATTTGTAAAAATCTTAACGACGCAGTGATTCGAGTTTTCTTAATTTCAACGATGTGTTAGAAGACAATGCATCTTGATTTGAAGAATCTGTTGCATCCGAAGGCCGGAACAGTACTCGACCACGATGATTAAATACATAAAATGACGGATGATTCCTTAATGTATCAAATGTCCTTTAAAAAAAAGCATAATTTTAAGTAAACCCTTATAAATGGCTATTTGAAAATAAGTACACTTACAATGAACTATGAATTTGCTACCGATTATTTTTCAAACTAAATTTAAAACCATGAAATTAGACTGTAAACGGTAATCACACTCTCTCTCATACTTTTTTCCTGTACAAGGAAAATAAGAAACACGGAAAACTGACACAAAGCCCTCAACATTATTTTTTCATTCAGTTTTTCCTTCCAGGATGACTATGAATAGCAACACAAGCACTAACTGAACTCTCACCACCTCTGTAAATCTCATACAAGCTCATGCCAAGCAGTCTTTTGAAAAACCAGCACACAGACTGCACCTTTGATTACACTCATTTGGTTCTGTCTATTCAAGCCACATGATTGTTTCATAGATCTGCTTCCCAAGGATCTTTCAAGTACAATGAAAAATTCCTTTTGGCCCTCTGTATCTGCTATTGTCCAAATTCATATATTCTGCTACCACCTCCTTAATGCTATTCTGTCTTAGGTATTTCTTTCCTGGCCCCCCGCCGTGATTTCTGATAGGTTCTTTGTCAGAGCAGAAGTGGGTAACCATAGTGCAGTAATACACACACACACACACAGAAAAACTCACATACACCAAAGTAAGTATATGCTCTTTAGCGTTTGTTTTTAAATGCTGTTTTTCTGGGGGGAAATAAAACAGAACTCTTCTTTTGAAAAAACTTAAATCTCAAAGTCAACCCCTAAAAATCTAAGCATACTCCCATACAAAACATGAAGCCTGACATGTGACTATTCAAGATGTACAATAAGGAAGTAAAAGTAAAAGAAGGGTAGTTTCCTCTAATATATAAATGCTCCTTGTGAATCCTTCTACACAAATACTGTGAGGGGTTATCACTTTCAGCATCAGGAAGGTGGGTAACATCTAGAGCTCAAATTGGACAAAGCTAAAAGATGCTTTCAGAAAAGGAAGAAATCCTATGGTGAACAAAGCTCAAGAAAACAACTTTTGAAGAAATAAGTAGTTAGGTTAGGTGCCATCAAGTCAATTCTAACTCATAGCGACCTTATAGGACAGAGCACAACTGCCCCCTATGGTTTCCTAGGCTGTAATCTTTATGGGAGCAGACTGCCAAGTGCCCCGCAGAGCTGCTGCATGGGTTTGAACTGGCAACCTTTTGGTAAGCAGCTGAGCGCCGCCAGGGCCACCCAGAAAAATACAGGAGGAGGGAAAAAACAGAACAACAAATACACTGTAATACAGGGATGGAAAAGGGTCTGGGAATAAGAGCTTAATGTTACAGACTTGGTTGAAGTGGTTGAAGAAGCAGAAAACCTCTTGTTCCTCCAAAAACAAAGCTGGGACAAGAGGGTAAAAGGAGGTAGGGAGAGGGAGGAGCAGTGGTTAATATCTCAGAGGGAACAGCTATCAATATCTCTATTTTCATCCATCTGTCCATCCATCCATCCGACCAACCAATAACTTCAAGCAACTAGGAAGCACCATCCCGTAAGAACATCTTATTCTACTGTCACTCATCTGACATTCAGCTTCCACATTCCCTTATCATGTCAAACACAGTCTCAGTATTTTGGCCTCATTTACTCACACACACTGCATAATCAAAAAAACAAGATCAACTTTTATGGACCCAAAGACATACATTTTAAATTATGTCAATGAAGTAAACCCCTAGAAAATAAAACACCTAGGAGAAGGGAACGACTTACTTATTTTTTAGTTCTGACGTAGCATCCATGTCTTTAAACTCCCCTGCGATGTGAACGATACCGTAACAGGTAACTGCAAAGGCCAGAAGGGTTTGAAGAACTATCTGTGAGTATAGAGATCGAGGTTACTAAATCATATGCAAATGTGATTATAAACATGTTGTTTTCTCTGTGTCTATCAGGTGAGCCTCCCAGATCCAGATCCAAGTGCTACTCACAAAGGAGTCCATTCTCACTTTAAATGATTTGGACTCAAGACACAATAAACACCTCTGCAAATTCTGTGCATCAGCTGTAAAAATACTTCTAATGCTTCAGCAGATGAACTTAGTGACAAGCTCAAATAACAAAAACAGGCACTCAGCCATTCAGAACTCAATTACCAAATATTACCTGATTCTATATGCAACCAAGAATTTTTCAATGTCTTGTTGTTAACTATCATACATACTAAAGAGCATATGATGCGTATGTGTACAGTATAAAGAAAAGCAATTAAAGACCACCAATCACCCCCACCCAGCTTAAGAAATAGAACATAACCAGTGACTTTCAAGTCTCCTGTGTCCGTCTCCAATTATATCCTTCACCCTTCCTCTCAAAGTTAACTACTGTCCCAAATTTTGTATTAATCAAATTACTTCTTTGCTTTTCTTTATAATTTTACCATCTAGGTATCTACCTCTACAAACACATATTGCTTAGTTTGGCCTGGTTTGAACTTTATATAAATGGACTCAAAGTATTCTTTTAGGTATAGCTTTTCTCTCTCAACAGCATATGTGAGAGTCATCCTGCTGTAATATCTAATAGGCCACTCATTTTCATCGTGCTTTGTATTTCATTACATGAAAACACCACAATTTACCCATTCTAACCTTTTGGAAAAACATCCCATTTTTCCACGTTATTTCATGTTAATAGGTATTTGGGGTGTTTTCTAGTGACTTTCACAAGCAATGTCAATATTCTTATTCTTGCTCTTATGTTTGTCTCCTGGTGCACAGGAGTGGAATTGCTAGGTGCAGGCTAGCCACATGTTCAACTTTATTAGGTAATACCAAACTGCTTTCGAGAGAGATTATGCAACCAAAAGTTTGTTTGTTTGTTTGTTTTTGGTGATTTGGGTGAAAATTTATAGAGCAAATTCACCTCCCATACAGCAGTTCATGTACACTTTGTCTCATGACATTGACTACAATTTACCCCAATGCAACAGCTCCCCTCCCACTTCCTCCCGATAGTTACCTCTTCCCTGTGTCCATCCCTCCATGCACTCCTGCCCCCTGAGCTATCTCCCTGTGCATTAACAGCCCTTCTTTCTCCCATAATTGTTCTCTCCAAGGAGTGTATCTACCTCAGGTACATGTTCAACTCTTATGCCTGTCTTTTGTTTGGCTGGAAGCCACAGGTATGGGTTCAATTCCAGACCTGAAGGGGAGCTAGGGACCATAGTCTCAGTGGTTCCACCAGGCTCTATGAGACCAGCAAACCTGGTACCCTTTTTTTTTGCAACTAAAAGTTTTTAATGTTTTCTATTAACCTACATGGGAGCTCTGGTATTACAGTGTCTAAGGCATCTGACTGCTAACCAGAAGGCTGGCGGTTCAAACCCACCAACCACTCTTCGGAAGGAAGACTGGGCAATCCACTTCCGTAGTGATACTGCCTCAGAAACCCAAGGAGGGGTCACTATGAGTCAGGTCTGACTCAACAGCACATAACAACAACAACATTAACCTACATAGGAATACAGGCGTATTTTATTTTCTTGAATGTGATTTTCTGCATTTTTCAAGTTTGTCAATTTGTAATCTGAAGAAAGTTACTTGAAATAGATATAAATGCATATATATATATTCATATATACATACACACAAACACACATGCACACATACTCATATATATCTACCACAAAGCAAAAAAGAAGGGATAATGAGTTAACAGGCAAATAAGCCATATCCTTAATTATAGACAACTGAAGTAAAAAATAGCCACAAGCTATTATTCAAAGTTTCTAAATTAAAACCTAATGTCATATATTACACCAGTTTACATTCCTATCACTAGTGTGCCAATGTCGATTTCATGCAATGGACTCATAGGCACTGTTAACAAGAATGTAGTAATCACTCCTTGCAGAGATGAATCATGGGAGAATAGAAGGGCTGTATATACACAGGGAGAAGCTCAGGGGGCAGGAGTACATGGAGGGAAGGACACAGGGAAGAGGAAGCTATGGGGAGGAAGTGGGAAGATAGCTGTTGCATTGTAGGAGATTACAGTCAATGTCATGAGAAAAAGTGTATGTGAACTGCTGTATGAAAAGTGAATTTGCTCTGTAAACTTTCACCCAAATCACAATTTTTAAAAAAAGAATGTGGTGAATCTGTATGAATTATCATGAAAACATATTCAAAATAAAATGTTAAGTAAACAAAAAAGCTAATTATAAGACTATACACATATGCATAATAATGTTATGAAAACACTGTGTGTGTGTGAGAAAGAGAGAGAGAGAAAGTGTATGGGTAAACTATACATACATAAAGTCAACATGGTTTATGCATAGGAAGAATACTGAACTAGTATACTCCAAGCTATTAATAGTGGTTGTCACAACCTGGGAATAGAAGTGGAATTGCTAAGAAATGGAGTCAGTTTGAATTTTTATGCTTATTGTTTGATTCTGTACAACTTTTATAATTTAAAATGCAGTAAACCTAAAGACTGTAAGTGGAGCTAAAACATATACTATTTTAGCTCTTAAAAACAAACAAACAAAAAAACACTTACTTGTTTCTCTTCAGTTTTACCACTCATGTGTGTGTCCTTAAAAAAATGTGTTAATTTTATTTTCTTTTCTGTGGGATTTTTTTTTCTTTACATAAAAGGAATTTTTCTAAAAAAAAAAAAAAGTTTTCTAAAAAAAAATAAAGTTTTCAAGTCCATCTCATTATATGGACAGAGTAATTTCTGGAAAGATTATTTAAACAACAGTTCTGGAAATGAAACAGAAGCTTTTTAGGCTTCTAATTCTTTGGGTTTACAAAGAATGATGAAAAGTAGAGAACAAATGCTGTTTTGCGTCTAAGTTTTCAAGAGCATAAACACAAGTAAAAAGAATAATTATAAGCCATGTGGCTAATTTTAAAATGATTATTTTAATGGAATATAAATGATCAACTTACATCTATTGGCAGTGATTCATCTTCCTTTTCTGTTAATCGCATATAAGAACGATCTATAAACCAGAAGCACACCATTAAGGAAATTGTAGGCCCCCTTTTTCTTAAAATGCAAGTAAATCAATATATCAAAGAAGGGACTCACTTATATGTCACATAAAGTAATGCTAATCCCAGATTCCTCAAAACCTCTATCTTCTAAGTCTACTGGCCTTACCTTAATGAAATATTTTATTCTCATCATGGCCTGTTTTGTCACCTTATAATATGAGTTGAGAAAATCAGATGAGCAAGTATGAGGCAAAAATACCCAATTTTTCTTTCACTACTCTAGGAAAGCTAGGAACCTCTGAAATTAAGCAAAAGAAAATAATGTTTTTTTACTAACGGGCCAAAAGAAATCACCATTATTTTAAAATTAATAAATATAAAGAAAATCTCAGGTCTGAAATAACACCACTCTCATACTACAGACAAAGACATATCAGCTGCCAAGCCCATTCCAACTCATGGAGGCCTTGTGTGTGTCAGAGTAGAACTGTGCCCCACAGGGCTTTCTGTGGCTAATTTCTCAGCAGACTGCCAGGGCCTTCTTCCGAGGCTCCTCTTGGTAGACTCAAAGCAGCCTACACATTAACCATTTATACCACCCAGGGACTCAGTAAATCGTACTAAGCAATGCTGTTGTTTTGTGCTGTCGAGTTGATTACAACTCACAGTGACCCTGTATGTGACAGAGTAGAACTGCCTCATTTTGTTTCCTATGCTGCAATCTTTATGGGAGCAAACTGCCAGTTCTTTTCTCTCGCAGTCACTGGTGACTGCCAACTGCTGGCCATTCAGTTAGCAGAGGGGCACATAACCCTTGTGCTACCAGGGCTCCTTGGAGTGAACAACAGGGGCTTGGAAATGATTTTCCTGAGGGACTGTGCTGGGCCAGTGGTGGAAAAGGAATTATAGGACCTCAATTTCTGCCTCCAGCATTTAGTTTACAATCCTGCTGCTGGCTCAACCCAGAAGGCAGCAAGTTCCTGACTTACCAGGGGTTCTGCTCCAACCAATCTGTCTTAAGTCAGTTCTTTTTCTTAGTTTTCATTATTACTGCCTTTTATTATCAGTAAGGAGCTGTGGTGGCACAGTGCCTAAGGCATTTGACTGCTAATTTGACTGGAAGGTTGGTGGTTCAAACCTACCAGCCACTCCATGGAAGACCAGGCATCTACTTCTGTAAATATTCACTGCCCTGGAAACCTAACGGGGATCACTATGAGTTGGAATTGACTACGTGGAAGTGGGGCTTTGTTTATTTGTTTTTTAAGGAGCTGTGGTGAAAGCATTCAGTTGCTAACTAAAAGGGCTGTGGTTTGAACCCAGCAGTAACTCTGTGGGAGACAGATAAGGCGATCTGCTTCTGTAAAGATTTACAGCCTTGGAAACACCACGGGGCAGTTCTACTCTGTCCTATAGGGTCGTTATGAGTCAGAGTTGACTTGATGGCAGTAGGCTTTTATTCTCAATATCTTTATAAATCCAATTTTTGTCTTTGGGGGTTGGCATGAGAATAACATCTACAAATTATGTGCTGCAACATTTAATCTAGTACATATTACTAACAATAAGATGTACTAAGAATATGGACGGTTGTTAAGTATACATACTCCTAACTGAAATACATCTAAGTCGGGGACTACCTGTACAAAGGAAAAGGCCAGGATTTGGAGGCTTATAAACCTGCATCTTAATAATAGCTCTCCAATTTACTGTATCTCATTCAATTTAAGAGACTTTCATCGACTATAAAATATATCTCAATTTCAGAGTGTTAAAATTGGGGGAGGGTTGGAATCAAAGAAATACTGTTTATCCTTTGAGTGCTTCAGTGACCAGAGCAGTAAATGGGAGTGATGTGAGGATTAGAGATGTGGTACGTGATAGGTACTCTGGTATAACCAAGCTCATGACAGCAAAGATGTGCATACCACAACCCCATTGCAAGCTACCTACTGTCACAACATGGAATGATGGAATTTGCCTTGAAGTAAATATTCGTCTCTTCTTAGCATAAGTATTATGAGAAGTCCCACTGCAGTGGGAAACCCACCAGGCATTCTCATCACTTGAAACGTAAAAATACAAAACCCTAATTCCACATGAACTATACACCATTCCTATTCTAAAATACCCAAATTGTTCTGAGTTAACATGAATTGACTCACCCTTATAACAGTGTATTTAGAGACATTTCTTAAGTTTTATGTTTTGGAGTTTATCAAAAGGACCAGTGTAAAAAAAAAAAAAAAAAAAAAATCTCAAACCAATATAACAGGCTTTTGCTGACCTACTGTCTGTTCAACTATCAGGCTAGTTTTCTTCTTTGCATGAAGCCCAATCTGACATTGTTGTTGTTGTTGTTATGTGCCATCGAGTTGGACCGACTCATAGTGACCCCTCCTTGGGTTTCCGAGGCAGTATCACTACAGAAATAGATTGCCCCACCTTCCTTCCGAGGAGTGGCTGGTGGGTTTGACCCGCCAGCCTTCTGGTTAGCAGTCAAATGCCTTAGGCACTGTGCTACCAGAGCTCCTAATCTGACATTGTTGTTGTTGTTGTTATGTGCCGTTGAGTCGGCCCCGACTCATAGTGACCCCTCCTTGGGTTTCCGAGGCAGTATCACTACGGAAGTAGGAT